GTGTGTTTCCATGTTGGGGTAAGTTACCAGTTCAAATTTGATATAAATTTATATATTACGTAGAGTACGATTAACCTTTGAGACCCAAAAGAAATTTGGGTATTTATTACTTGGATCGTATTTGCAATTTATTTACACACTCAGAACGAATAGAAATTTGTAGTTAAGTATCCTAAAAATGGTTTGATCAGGAAAAAAACCTAAAATAAAGGGCAGTTTTGTCTTATAAAACTTTATAATGGTATGACTTGTACATGTATTGTTATCTCATATTGCATGAAATAATACATGAATTGATGTATAACTTATACAAGGAGTAACTTGCAGAAATTAATAAGGAATACCAAACACTAGTTAATTAAGTATAAAATTTGATGCCATGATTATTTTTTCTAATACATCATACCAAATGTTCCCTTAAGGTATTAAAAAAAAACAAATACATATATATCTACAACCTTACTTGAACAGGATCTGTTCTATTGGCTCGTACCACTATATCCTTGAGTTCTAAGGAGACAGGAAACCAAGTCTGGTGGATGAATCATGGCCATTAGGCCAGCCCCCATCGCCTTCGGGTCATGTAGCCGTAGATGATTGTTTTTAGCTCCAACCATTTCAAAAAAAAAAGAAAAAAATTACATATATATCTCAAAACCAACCATTTTTCCTTAGCCATCTTATATAATTTGTTCAGGAAGCAGCATTGCCAATTCAACCAACGCTAGGCCCTGGAAATATAGAGATGAAGGTAACAAGGAGCAGAGTGATGAACAAAAACCAACAATTTTATTCCTCTCTGCAGTCTGCAGAGATATTAATTAAACTCACCTTCCCTCCACTAGAGAATTTGTCCAAGAAATAGGCCTGGAAGAACAATAATTGGATAGTATGGTATTCGGTCTCATACTTTCCAGAAGGTAAAAATCCATATCCTCAGCTTCAGATTCAGCTACCTCAGAGTTCCTTTCAAAGAATTTCACCACTTGTCTCGCGGTTGGCCTAGCTTTGGGGTCTAGGCTCGCGCATATCATGCCTAATTGCAATACCCTTAAGGCTTCCTCTTCATTGAATCCTTGATTACTCCTTAACTGATTATCAAAAGCATTACTCAATTCGCCCTGTTTCATTAGTTCCCACAGCCAATCCATTAAAGGTGGCTTGCCTTCCTCTATTGGCCTCCTTCCACACATCACCTCCAATATTAGAACTCCATAACTGAATACATCAGTTTGCGTGGAGGCACGTCCTGTCTTGGCAAACTCTGGCGCCAGGTAACCAACTGTGCCAACAACTCGAGTCTCGTTAGCCACTTGACCATGATAATGCATTCTGGCTAGACCAAAATCACCAATTCTTGCATGCATTTCCTTGTCAAGTAAAACATTGCTAGCCTTAATGTCTCTATGCAACACTTTCGCCTCCCACTCTTCATGCAAGTATTGAACTCCTAATGCCACATCTTTCAAAATCTTAATTCTGTCTTCAAAACTCAACATGTTTCCCTTATCACATTCAAACAGCCTTTTATCCAAGCTCCCATTTTCCATATAATCATAAACCAAAATCAGGCTGCCTCTCCCTTTCTTGCACCAGCCTCTTAATGCCACCAAATTTCTGTGCTTTAGCCTACCAAGACTTGAAATCTCAGCCAAGAATTGCCTTGCCCCTTCACTGCTTTCATGAGAAATGCGCTTTACTGCAACCTCTGAACCCCCAGCCAACACCCCTTTATAAACCTTCCCATTACCTCCAATTCCAATCATATTTTCATCAGCAAAACCCTTTGTTGCAGCATCAATTTCTTGATAAGTAATCCTATGTGGCCAATATTCCAATTCCCAATCTTCCATACCCTCCTTTTCCCTTTTCATTCTCCTATTTCTCTTAATCAGTAACAATGAAGTGACTACAACAAGAAAGAAGAGTAATATTGTCATACCTGCAATAAATCCCTTCGATTGATAGATTGGATCTTTAGGAAGCTCAAATGAAGGCAACCCATGTGTGATCAAAGCATCACTAATCGAAAAATTCGAGTTACTAAAACTCCAAGCTAAAATCTTGTGACCTTGAGCAAGAGATCCAGTGGATGCTGTGAACCCCACATACATCTCATCCTCAAAAACTTGAGAAAGATTCAGAGGGAAATCCAACAAAGGTTGCTTAGGCCTTTACATACCAACTGGTGCCATAGTCACATTAATGTGGAAATCTGCATAGTCAATCCAAACTTGGTAGTTTCTTCCATTATTCAACTTTAAAGTCTTGAAAAACTCTTCATTTAGGATACCATTATCATTATACTTATTGTACTTATCAGGCCAATAGCCTGCTTCATGAGCAAACACTGATTCAAGAGAATTGACATCAATTCCAACATGGTTGTTATTTATGTCATTGAATTCTTGATTCTTGAAAACATCAAATTCAACCCCAAAGACATGGTTATTTGGATTCCCATTATTTGTGAAGTTCAAGAAACCTAAATTCTGTGAAGAAGAACTCGACCCCCTGTAGATACCTGTGTGTGGCACGAACAAGAAAACTATGCCATGTCCTGGCAGCCTGTCCCTATAAGGTGCCATAGCAAAAATGAAAGATGTTGAAAAGGGAAGAACTTGAGATGAATTGGGTGCTTTAGTGACAATTTTTGAAGGGTGTAGAGCTCTACCATCTGAAAAGGAAGTTGCGTCAAGGGTAAGACTAAGTATTCCAGATTCAATTGTAGCATCCCCATAAGCTGACATATCTGATGGTTTAAAGCCATTGAAGACAAAATCAGTTGCTGAAGCTGATTGAATACAAGAAAGTATGGTTATTAGTAGGTAGAGAAGAAGAGTTTTTAGGTGTTGCTTCATTCTCAGAAAGAAGCACATGTGTAACTCTCATGGAAGAAAAAATTATGAGAAGCAAGTGGTTACATAGGGAAAGGGGAATATTGAAAGGATACTTGGTCAAAGATTTGACAAAAAATACTTGGTCAAAAAAAAAAAAAAAACCATTTCAACTAAAAATAGTTATATTATATATGTATAATTCATGTATTATATATGTATACCATATAGAATTAATATATAATTTGTGTATATCGGCTAAAAAAAATAATGGTATTTGTATAAAGATCCCAAGATTTTTCAGGATAATGGAAATATTACAAGGAATGAACTCTTAATGACCGTTTCAGCCAAAAGAAAAATTTAATGATCTGTGTCTAAAGTCGAGGAACTAAGAAAATGACAACAAAGAAAAGCTGCAACATGCAGATGTGAAGATAAAGAGGAAAAGATAGTGGGATATTTTTATGAGTGGTACTTAACTAATGATTTATTTTGTGATTTTTCAAAATTAGCGCCGAACAAAAAAAAAAACATAGAAATGAGGTAGATATGAGCACTATAAATCACTATTTAAATCTTAAAATGGTTAAATCTATCTATATCTATCTATCAATATCTATATTGAGATTTTTTTATTCTTATACACTATTTGAAATCTTATTACGAAAATATTTATATTTTGGTATTTACCCGGCCTAAACATATTTTAGTTACAAAATATATACAATCCACCTTAAAAGGCTCTCAATCCATTATTTGTGCTTTCAATCAAGAGATTTAGTTGCACCCTTTTTCTTTTTTCTCTTCTCTCTCCCCTCTTCTCTCCCCTTTTCTGATTTCCTTGTTAAAAATTCCTTAGTTAGTTAAACTACCAGCCGTAAACATGGAGGAAAAAGTAGAAATAAACCAATTTTCATACATCAAGACAAAAACCTTCATTTTTTGGTGGATTGTACCTCCACTCTCACACATCACTGCATCTTAAAACAAAAACTCATCGTCCATTTCCCTCGCATGTATCGTCTCTTGCTAGGTGTTTTCTGATTTTCTTGTTAGATCTCATCTCCAGATTGAACTTATATTTAGGGATTTAGAGAATCTAATCCCTCAGATCTCAACTGATGTATATAGCTTGAGTTAAAAATTCGAATTCAATTGTGCCTAATATGCAACTTCCACTATGAATTCGCCCTAGAGTTCTTGAACAGTTAATTGTAAATGACTCAATTTATAATACGCATGGAGGACTTGCGTTGACCGGTATGAAGGTGCACATACTTTTCAAACAGGCTTGATGTTTACAAATTAAATAAAAATGAGGAAAAAGTGTTACGCCCAGACAAGAAAGAGAACAATTATTTGTTTCGTCTTTTTTCTCCCACGCCATTGAAATGCATTAGCTCAATATTCTTTTGGACCCTATGAAGTTGACAACTTCAAAATGTATAGAAAATTAGTTGATGATTGATGGTCTCATGAGTCATGACATGATTGCTTTCAGAAAGTCTTTGATATATCGGTATTTGAATGGAAAACCCAACTTCTTGGCCCTCGATGGAACCACCTTCTGCCCATCCAACACCTGAAATATACATTACTAGGTATTTGGACAATAATTAGTTGAAGTTAATGGAAAAAATAAAGTATAAAAGTATAATATATAGTACATAATAATTATATATTATACAACTTATTTACAACTTTCATATATTATTTCTACCCAGTTATTTCCAACTACAATATTATACAACTTAAATATAATTTTTTTACAAATTTTATACAATATGTCTTTTGTATATTTTGTATCTGATTTATACATAGTAAAAATAAATTTCATACAACTAATTATAT